CCCCAAAACCCCAAAACCCCAAAACCCCAAAACCCCAAAACCCCAAGTTTGAAAATTAGAGTTGAAATATTTAAATTACTATAAAAACAGAGGTTTTCCAAATGGCAGACAATTTTAATCATCCAAATAACGACATGGTAATCAGGCATTCTCAGTATGATGGGTACCCAGAATCGAGGAAATATGATGGTAAATATTCCAACAATTCTAATACAACCTTTCTTCATCTAACTGTGCATTTATTGACGACTTCTATTTGCGCATTTCCATATTCAAATTTCATTTTGGTATAGAAAAATAATGAAGATAAAGAAAGATCAACTCTGAACTTAAATGAGCCTCCATTTCCTCAGGAGGATCAAAGTGAAGTATTTTCCTCTATCAGTGCCAACCAGGAATACCAACTTCCAAAAATGCCGGTTGGGATGCAAGGAACTTTTGAAATATATTCATCTGTACAGATAGGAAACGAGCACCTTGAAGCGCATGCAGGGAAGCATCCTATTATAGCCATCCGGATGAGGGGTCCTTACAAGCAATATGGTGTTCTCCGTCATTTTCAATTACCTGAGGATGGCATCAAAGTGAACCAAATCAGGATTATCAAAAGAAATTTCTATGACGATGTTGAAGATAGGATCGACGAATGGATATTCATTTATCTCGTTTTTCACAAAAATATAATGTGCATGATCTTTCAGTGAAAGGACATTATGAGCCAAACAGAACAAATCAAGAAAGCAAGGCTAGAAATTATCCGCACAGACCAAGATGAAATTAACTTTGAAAGAGATTTGGAGAAAATTGAGAGAATTATTTTCACAGCTGTAGCTAATATCGACTCAAGGCTTTCCAGTGGAGATACTAGTATTAACCCTGACGATTTTATTTATGCAGCTGAGATTCAGTCTGAAGTCCAGGCTTTTAATCCTTTTATTTTCTCAAGAGTTGACTACTCCAACTGATTCTCAAGGTATCCATACTCGCCTATTCCTGTGAAGGATAAAGAGAAGGATGACTTAGACAATACAACTTCAAAATTAGAATCTAGAGTGATAGAAAGTTCAAACTCATGGAATGATAGACAGATCAATTTCAGAGCTTCTAGTGCTATTAGCCAACATACTAATGATAAATCTTATGTTTACAACAATGATAACACAAACTTGTACTCTCCCCAAAATATGGGGAAGAATATATCTCACTATAAGAACCCTTCTGCTGATTCTAATTTTAATCCAACTTCGCTGGTGGATATATCTCAAAATCCCTTTGAAAATGGTCATGCAAGAAGAATGTCTCAGAATACCATGAATGAAGCTCAAAATGCAGAATCTTGTGACAAAAGTGGGCATTCATTGAACATCAATGACAAGTCAATGACTCCTGACTATATTGGGGACTACAATGAGGCTGGAATAGAGAGGCTAGCCTCTCCGATCTCCATTGTGCCTAGTCAGAGACCTGGAGATCTTTCTTCAGTCACTGAAGAAACCTTGGATGGGTTTGAACAGTCAGAAATGGCAACTACAACGAGGCAGGAGAACAATCTTAACAATAAGTTTAATGCCCAGACAAATTACTATAGAGAAGAAACCTCACTTGAGGAGGAAGAGGATGAGTATTCTGAAGAAAGTGAGTATACAGAGACTTCAGTTGCCACTCAAAATTATGATAATCCCGAGTACCAGAGGAGATACGAAGAGGTTTACAAAAGCTTCTCTGATGACTGGAGAAAAGACTATAATATTAGAGCTTCTGTGACTTTGAGTCATAATCTATCTCAAGAAGAAATGAACATTAACAAATTTGATGCCTGGATAGAGCTCCTAGAACTTCCAAACAATCAAAAACAGTTTTATCATCTATTCAATAAAGGAGTTCATCCGGCTTATCAGTATTTGATGGAAAATTATCCTTTAAAAGAGAGGGATTTGTACGAGAAATACATCAGAATTTTGTCATGAATCGGACACTGGAGCAATTTCATGACTAAAGTTGATATTGGCCCACTAATTGTTTTCCCATTTGTGAAAGTAATGGACCACTCAGAAGTAATTGTCTGTGAGACAGTCATGACAGTCATAAATCATTGGTGAAGAAATTGGTTTGATTTCCATCCAAACCCTCCTATCCATCTGCTGAATATAGTGAAATAAAACTGTGAAAAGAGAAAGTCTCGAGGTTCATCATCATTTTAAGAAGCATGGATACAAAGTTGTCCACTATGCCTGGCCTATGGTGAAAACATTATTCAGTGAAGTCTTTAATGATGAAGATTGGAGCGAAATGATGAATTATTTATTTACTTATCCAAGCAAAACCAATTTGCTTTATTTCTTATCTGCAGCTATAATTCTTGAGAATATGGAAGGACTGTTAAGTTGTAGAGATCACAAGGAACTAATAAATTATGATTACTCTTTGAAGAGTTATGATGTTCTTGATCTCATGTCAATAACTGTAGCTCTTTTTGATAGATACAACAGCAGATTTTTATCTGAATTAAATCTGCAAAACTGATTATCAACACCAGAAGTTCCTAGTTTTGGATTCCCTCATTCCTTCCCTCTACCGCCAAATAATTACCCAATATGTTTCAGATATCCTCAAAATTCATCAAAATTTTCAGAAATCCCCAGGAAATATTCAAACACTCATAATTATCATCCTGAACAGCCGCTCTCAAATCCAACTTCTACTGCACAAAATTTACCTATCCAAAATCCAATAGCATCTCAAAGTTATGAGCTTTCTTCTAAACCCATTAAGACTACCAAAATCCCATCAGGGAGTTTCAAAAATCAAGAATCGCTTCGAGAACAATTCAAAATTCAAAAATAACCTCGAAAAGGTAGAAAATCACAGAAAAGAGCTAGCCAAAATAATGCAAGAGAACCGCCTTAATTCCCAAAAACAGCCTCAGACACATAAGAACTCCTATTACGAAGACCACAATATAAACACCGATGACTTCTCCCAGAGTCAGCAAGAAGAGGAGGAATGTGAAGAAGAAAATGAAACTAATGAGTCTATTCATGAAGAAGTCTTTGAACACATAAATCTTGCCACAGAGTCTGATGCTAATGATAGCATAGATATCGAGTACCAAGAGATGCTAGAGAAGGAAAGAATGCTCAATGAGAGACTTAGGATGGACGAAGAGAAGCTACAAGCAAGAAAAATTGAACTCCAGTCTGAGATTAGGTCAAAGATGACTGAAATTGGCTCTCCGGTATCAGCAGTTGGTGCTGAAAACATGTCTGAAAATAGCTTTAACTTCAATAAATATAACAAGAAGAAATATAACAAGGGTGACGGAGTGTCAAAGCCTATTTCTCTACCCCCTGCTCAGCCTTTACAAGTTTCTTCGATCCTAAATATCGAGAAAAACTTGCCTGACGTTCATAACCTTAAGTTCAAATAATCTTTTTCAATGTAATTCTTATTCACAAATGCCTCTTTCTTCAGATAAATTTGGTAATTTCTCAATTTCTGGAATAAACTTTGGGGTTTTGGGGTTTTGGGGTTTTGGGGTTTTGGGG